GTGGCATGCATGCAGAAAGGGAAGGGAGGGTGGGATCGGGCGGGGAGAAGGGAGGGGCTTATGGGGGGATACAAAATGAATAAAGTGTAATTAATAAAAAAAAATGTGTACTGCACCACAATGGAAAAATCTAAAAGAAGTGGATAAATTTCTTGATACATACAGCCTCCCAAAGTTCAATCAGGATCAGATAAGCAAAAACAACACACTACCACCACCACCATAACAACACAGACCTATAACCCCTATTCAAATAGAAGCCGTAATTAAAAGTCTTCCACCTTGCAAAAACTCAAGGCCACTTGGGTTCAGCATATTACTCTACCAAAACTTCAAAAAATACCTTTAATCTTCAAATTATTCCACAAAAGCGAAACAGAAGATTGTCCAGTTTTTCTTTTTGAAGCCACAGTTTCCCTAATATTTAAACCACATAAAAATGGAAGAAAGAAGGAAAATTACAGACCAGTTTTCCTTATGAACAGAGATGTAAAAATTCTCATTAAATACTTGCAAAGCAAATCCAAGAACATATCACGGGCGTGCAGGATAGTATAGTTTTAAGAAAAACCCAAATGATGAGGAATAACAATTTTTTTTTATTTTACCTTTCTCTCATATATTACTTGCTGACTGACATTTCCTCTCACCTCTCTTCTTACAGTCCCTCCTCCCCCCGCCCTCCCATCCAACTCCTCCTCTGTTTTCCTTCAGAAAAGGGCAGGTCTCCAGGGATATCAACCAAACAGGACATACCAAGTTGCAATAAGACTAGGCACCTGGGCCTGGTGGTGGAACACATCTTTTAATCTCAGTTTAGGAGGCAAGGGCAGGCAGATCTCTGTGAGTTCATAGCCAGCCTGGTCTACAGAGTGAGTTTTGGGATAGCCAAGGCTACACAAAGAAATCCTGTCTCAAACAACCATTACAAAAAAGTCTAGGCACCATCTTTTGTATTAAAGGTGGAGAAGGTGACTCAGTCCCTGTGAGCCCCTATGTGCCCAAGTTAGTTGATTCTGTGGGGAACTGTGGCCTCATAAAAAGAACTGGGCAATCTTCCTTCCCAAGCAGGCAAAAGAGACAGAAGCAGCCCCACTCCCTCTGTTAGGAGTCCCACAAAAGTCCAAGCTATACAACTATAACATACATGCAGAGGGTCTAGCTCAGAACCATGCAGGATTATCAGTTCTTTCTAAGCCTCTCTGTGATCTCCTATGGTCCGAAGTTAGCTGATTCTGTAGGATTTCTTATGGTGTCCTTGTTCTTTCTGGCTTCTATAATCCTTCCCCCTATTCTTCCTCAGGATTCTCTAATGTTTGGCTGTAGGTTTCTGCACCTGTTTCCATCCTGGATGAAGCATCTACAGCAGAATATCATTAGTAATCATTTCACTAATTTTTTTCTGGTCCTGTTTTGTTCTATCCTAGATCTCTGGGCTATCCAGACTTTAGTTCCTAGCCCTCCAGGCAGTGTCAGGGGTGAGCTCCTTCTGATGGCATGGGTCTTAAGCTGGACCAGTGTTAGTTGGCCACTTTTTCTTCACTTTTACTTCAGCACTTCTTGTAGGCAGGACACAATGTAGGTTGAAAGCTTTGAGACTGAGTTGCTGTCCCAATCCCTCCACTTGGAAATCTTGACTGGTTACAGGAGATGACCAGTTCAGGCTCTGTATTCCCCCACCACCCCACTACTTACTAGGAGTCTTACTTAGGATCATCTTCTTACTCTTGGGAGATTCCATTGCACTAGGTTTCTGCTTCACCCCTGAAATGCCTTCCAATTCCAGTTGTCTTCCCTAGTACTCTCCCTCCATCTCCTTCCAACCCGATCCCTCTTGTTCCCACCCGCCTACTGTCCACCCGTGGTATCTGTTCTATTTTTCCTACCCAGATAGATTCAGCCATCCTCTCCCTGAGCCCTCCTTGTTACTTACCCTCTCTGGATCTGTGGATTGTAGCATGATTATCCTCTACTTTACAGCTACTATACACTTATAAGTGAGTGCATAAGAAGTTTGTCTCACTGGGTCTGGGTTTTCTTACTTAAGATGATTTTTTTTCTAGTTCCATTCATTTGCCTGCAAATTTCATGAAGTTATCTTTTTTATTTTAACAGCTGAGAAATACAGCTGAGTAATACTTCATTGTGTAAATGTACCACTTTTTCTTTAATCATTTTTTGTGTGAGAGACATCTAGGTTGTTTTCAGTTTCTAGATATTAAGAATATAACTACTATGAACATAGTTGAGTAAGTGTTCTTGTGGTACAATGGAATGTCCTTTCAGTATATGCCCAAGAGTGGTATATCTGGGTCTTGAGGTAGAGCTATTCCCAGTTTTTTGAGAAAATGCCACATTGATTTCTGAAGTGGTTGTACAAGTTTACACTCCCTCTAGCAATGTAGCACTCTAGCAATGTTTCCCTTGCTCCATACCTTCACCAGCATGTGCTGTCACTTGAGTTTTTGATCTTTGCCATTCTGACAGGTGTGAAACAGAATCTCAAAGTTCTTTTGATTTGCATTTTCCTGATGAAAATCAGGGAAATCTTTTTTTAAATTTTTTAAACTTTTATTAATTATACTTTATTCACTTTGTATCCCCCCTATAAACCCCTCCCTTCTCCCCTCCCAATCCCATCCTCCCTCCCTCTTCTTCACACATGCCCTTCCCCAAGTCTACTGATAGGGGAGGTCCCTCTTTCCTTCCTTCTGATCTTAGTCTATCAGATCTCATCAGGAGTGGCTGCACTGTCATCTCTGTGGCCTGGTAAGGCTGCTCCCCTCTCAGGGGGAGGTGATCAAAGAGCAGGCCAATCAGTTCATGTCAGAGACAGTCCCTGTTCGCATTACTATGTAACCCACTTGGACACTGAACTGCCATGGGCTACATTTGTGTAGGGGTTCTTGGTTATCTCCATGCATGATACTTGGTTGGAATATGAGACTCTGGAAAGACCCCTGTGTTCAAATTTTCTGTTCTGTTGCTCTCCTTGTGGAGCTCTTGTCCTCTCCAGATCTTACTATCTCCCACTTCTTTCATAAGATTCCATGCACTCTGCCCAACAGTTGGCCATAAGTGATTCTTGACCATTTGAAATTTCTTGACTGAGAATTGTTTAGATTTGTAAAGCACATTTTAATTAAATTATTTTCTTTGTTGATGTTTAGTTACTTTGGGTTCATTATATATTTGGGAAATTAGCCTTCTGTCAGGTGTGGAGTTGGTGAATCTTTTCCCATTCTTTGTGCTGCTCTTTTATCCTCATGACAGTGTCCTTTGCCTTAAAGAAGCTTTTCTGTTCTATGAGGTCCCATTTATTAATTGTTGATCTTAGTACCTATGCTGTTGGTGTTCTGTTCAGGAAGTTTTCTGTGTACCAATGTCTTTAAGGCTGTTTCCCACTTTCTCTTTTTTTAAGTTCAGTGTACTGTTTTTATGTTGAGGTATTTGATCCACTTGGACTTGAGTTTTGTGCAGGGTGATACATATTAATCTAATTCCATTCTTCTACATGCTGACATCCAGTTAGACCAGCAGCATTTGTTGAAGATGCTTTCTTTTTTTCAATTGTATAATTCTGGCTTCTTTATGAAAAATCTGGTGTCCATATTTCTGGTATTCAATTCGACTTCATTGATCAACCTGTCTATTTGTATGCTAGTACAATACGTTTTTTTTTTTTTATCACTATTGTTTTGTAATAAAGCTTGAATGGAGGGATTTTGATACCTCCAGAAGTACTTTTATTTTACAGAACTGGTTTTTAGCTATTATGTTTTGTTTTTTTTTTTCCATATGGAGTTTAGTATTGTTCTTTCAAGGTCTGTAAATAATTGTTTTTGAATTTTGATGGGGATTGCATTAAATCTGTAGATTGTTTTTGATGTCTATTTTTACTATGGTAATCCTACAGATCCATGTGCACAGGCGAGCTATGAAGTTTCCTCTTAGCATCACTTTTATTTTTGTCCCATAAGTTTGGATATGTTGTGCATTCATTTTCATTGAATTCTAGGAACCTTGTTAATCTAAACATTGTTTTCTTTTCTTCTTTTCTTTTATTTTTTAGGTACAAAATGCTAGTGACTTGCTGATCAAACCCCTGGAAACTTTTCGGAAGGAACAAATAGGTTTCACAAAGGTATAGTTTTTGTATTAAATGTATAAGGTCCTTTGTTTTTAATAGCAGTTGAATAGGTTTATTTATTTATTTGGGGGGTATCACCAATCATTCTGCAATGATTTAGTGGTTAACTCTATAAGAGAAGAAGATGCTTGGATATCTCAGATAGCTGTTTACCTTATTTTAGAGTTTAATTCTGTGAGTGTTTCCAAAAGAAATTGGCATTTGAGTTGCTTGGCTTCTCTAATCCTTTTGGGTGGGTGTCACTTAATTCATTGAGAGCCTCCATAGACCGAAGGGATGGACAAAGTTTGAATTGATTACTAGACCACATGACTTGGGACATGGAATCTTTGCTCTCAGTATAATTGGTTCTTAGTCCTTCAAACCCAAATTGGAATGCATAGCAATAAATCTTAGGCTATTGACCCTTTCATACCATCCTACTGGTATTCCTTACTGTTTCCCTGTGGCAGATCATAAAGCTTCTTAGCTTCTGTAATCATATGAGCAGGTGCCTTAGAATAAATCTCTGTTTCTCTTTTTCACTCGAACTCCTTATCTCACTCTCTAGCTAATACAGAAAGTAGTAATAGGATGTAGGCTGTTGCTGTAACAAATGTGCCACTTAGCAATGTTAATACACTTAGCAATGTTAATACATTCTGAGAAATGTATCTGTAGGTGATTTTATTCTTATGTGACCATCACGGAGAATACAGAACTAGATTGTATAGATCACTCAATGTAGTTTTTTTTAAATACATTTTAAATGCAGTAAGCATGAGATATTTGAGGCTACACCAGTATATATAACTTAATGTTTAACAGTAAATGATTTATAAGTCTTATACTCTAAAATTCTGATAAAAGTATGGTGTAGTAAATATATAACTTAACATAGTTTTATTCCTTATCATGAATTAAGCACATAATTGGACCAGTACATCCAATTATGTTATTGGTAACACAGTACACAGTATCACAGGCTTAAGTGATGCCTGATGCTATGATGCTATGGCTGTAAGGTCATGAGAGTGGCAGGAACTTTTCTATTCTTTCATGATATCCCTTATCTCCCTTCCCTTTCACTGTCTCCCCTCTTCCTCCTTTCACTCTACTCTCCTGAACATCTATTTCTTCCCCTTTGTTGTCTTTACTTTTTCTAATAAAATATCAGTGTTGCTCAGGAAGGACTCAAATACCTGATCTTCTTTTTTTAAGTTCCTGAATGTTGGGCTTGTAAGGTTGCCCCACCACACCCAATTCTGTTAATAATCTTTTGGAGCCACAGCATGTAGGTAGTCTGTTGTTAAAAAATATCAAATGTATGTATATTGCATATAACTATATCTAATAACAATCATGAAAGCACCACCAGAACCAAACACTTGATGGTCTTTGAGACCACAATGAACAGTGTTTAAGGCCAACCTTCAGAAAGGTAAGAGTGATATTACCTTTTTAGGAACAACCACAGCACTCAACCAAAGAGGATTATTCTGAAACCTCAAGATCTCAAGGTGTTTGACTTGTCTGATTTGCAACTTACTTGGGATCCACCAGTCCTTCACATTTTTGTCTTCTGGAATGAGGATGTCTGTCTTATGCCCATACCTGCATTTTTCTAGAAGTATGTTGATTGCTTGGTATCAGGCCCACAGCTAAAGATAACTGTTCCTCAACTATCAACCATATCTAAGTCATATCATAAAATGAATAGGTTAAACTTTGCATTTCAGGCATTTGAAGCAATACTTGAATGAGTTTGTAATGAAATTTTGGGTTTCTTTAAACATTCAGTTATGTTATGTAAATATGCTTTTGTTTTAATCCCAAGGTTGGGATTTTAGTTTGTCCACAGCTGTTAATTGTCTCCTGTTGGGTGTGGTCTTTGCCAGCTTTAATGGCCTGTCTTATGCAGCATGGAAAGGGGTATGATCTAGGACTCTGAGGGATATAAATCTGAGACTCAGTAAGGAAAAGTATGGCAGGTTGCAGAGACAGGAGACAGGCAGTGTCAGTTTGGAAAGACCAGAGACAGACGGTGTTGTGGCTGGGAGGAGACAGATGGAGAGAAATGTTTCAATGCAGCATCTTGGAGGAGTCTGCTTGCTGCATTTGCTGTTAATGGAGATTGGTATAGTTCCCCCCCCCCCATAGAACCTAAACAGCCAAGGGAAGTAAAGGGGTGTGTGCCTCCTTTCCCCACTACCCTCTTTTTTCTTTCCTAGGGTTAAAAGGTTGGTGGAAAGGAGGTAGAGGCTTAAATACCCCAGATAAAGTAGAGATTAAAAATGAGTGCTACCTGAGTTGACTTTTAAAGCTGTTGGGATGAATTAACTATATTCTGCCTGAGAGAGAGGAGTGAAGCTGGTGAGGACAGGGATGGGTAGAATGTTATGTGTGTGTCTCCCCAGTTCTAGCTATAGAAATTCTAAACTCTGTAAATATTTCTATTTCCTTTTATGGTTTCAGTTGCTTCATTTGGAAAATGAGGTGCATAAAAATAATAGCCATCATTGGTCTAAGTGCTTTGCATTTTTTCTGCACCAGAGAATTTCTTGGAGGTGTCTGGCAGGGAGGTAGTGATACTTATACAAATATACAAAAGAAGTAAAATGGCAAAAATTATAGAGTTAGTGCCAATGGCCTGGATTGAAATACAAAGATCTTTTTAGCTTCAGATTTTAACTCATTTTTGAGACAGGATTTCACTATGAAGGCGAGGCTGTCCTGGAATGTCTTTCTCCTTCAGCCTCCCCAGTGTTGGAATTACAGGTGTACCCTTCCATGCCTATTAAGCTATGCTGTCTAGATCTGTGTGGGACTTTAGGCTGGCCTCTTACTCATGCTTCTCCTGCCTTGGATGCTTGAGTGCTGAGCTTCTATGTATGTATAACTGCAGCGTGTTTGGTTTACCATTATGATAGCCATAAGATATTTATGTTTCAAGTCCTTAGTGTTGCTAGCCACATTTGAGATCCTTACTAGTCACAGGTGGATAGTAGCTATTTAGTTGGAAAGCTTATCCATAGACTTTGTCCATCATCATTGAAAGGTCTGTTGCACAGTACAATACCAGATAATTTTAGCTTCATTATCCCTGAAGCTTTCATTATTCAACATGTCAAAAGGAATATGAATACCTTCAGTTTAATTTTTTTTCAGCCTAGTAAATAAAACTATTTCCAAGGTGTATTCAGCATGTTGCCAAAGTATTCTTTCCTGTATAGGTTAAAATGTATCATCTTGAACAAGTGTCCAGGCCTAATTTTTAGAATAAAAATACACCTTGCAGTGGCTATCATTGGAATACCATGGCAATTGAGTTGGATAAAAGATATGAAAGTAGCAGGAAAGAGACATTGTCATGTCAATTAGAATCTTCAAGGTCATTGAGATATAAAGACTATGAAATGGAAATTTGAGATTATAGCTCAGTGGTATAGTGCTTGCCCAGCAAATGTGAGGCCCTGGGTTCTATGCCCACCTCTCACATGAAAATGAAAATGAAAATGGCAAAAATAATCAGTGGATGTACTCCTAGTGCTTGATATCATGAGTGAAGGTGATATGATCATTAAAGCATTGTGAATAGTCTAAATAACCCAGAAATGTTGTAGTCTACTAGTTTCATTTGGGTAAGGGTATATTTAAAAGACAGAAGAAGCTTTGAAATTATAAACGTGATACAAAAATAATTGCCATTTGTTAAATTTCAGTTATTATCTAACACTGAAAATGGTTGAAGTTGGTCATGTGTTTTGAAGCCTGCATATCTGACTTGCTTTCAATGCTGGATGAAAACAGCAAAAGTGAATGAAGTAAGGACGTGCTTTAGTGGTTGATTTTCTACGTGTAGAAAGGAAAATTCTGTGGTATGTTTTATGTGTACCAGGCCTATTAGTTTGGTGATTTTATCAATGCTGTCTCCTCGCAGCAAACTTGCAAGGTAGGACTTAAAATTTATTGTCAAAGTAAGAGACTGAGACTCTGAAGGGTTAAAGTGCCCACCAGTCTTTTTCCAATCTTAAAAATTCACCTTTTTCAGTCAGACTGCAAAGACACAGCCATTGTTAGAGTCTCAAATAGAGTGCCTGGAATTATTCCAATAGTGAAATTTAAGAAAGAGCAAATTACACTTAACTAAGGGCCAGGAAATGAAGTTGTTAATCTACTGTTCTCTTTTGTTTTTCATTGCCTCCCAGTTCCAAATACACCCATCCATATCTTCTCTGTGATAACAGACAGTTCCATCAGTTATCTCTCTACAGTTAACATGGCATTAAGCTTTCTCAATAGCAACACTACAGGTGGAAGTGACTTAATGTTTTTAGGGGCTGCAGGGTGGACTGCTACAGTGGTGGAGCTGTGATCCAGCCACTACTGTATTGCCAACCACGAAGCTTATGTCTTTTAATAATATTCCGCATGTTTATCAATCTTAAAAGGCCTCAGACATTCATATGTTAATCTAACCTTTCTCTGTAGTTACTCCTACACACATCACCGGGCCTGTCCATTGTGATGAATCTTTAGTGTGACACATCAGATGTCCTCACTGGGCCTTCATATAGTCTGATAGTGTTTAGAGGATTCACCCTGAGCCTGGCAAGCCCCCCGTGAAGTTCACCTTCAACTTATCGTATCCCCCTCTCTCTGTAAATAGTGTGCTGGTTATCTCTGGAGAGATACCTTCCTTCTAACTAGTGAGCATAAACTACCAAGACAAACAATCAGATCTCACTTCTACCCATAAGATTATATTACCATGTTTCCAGTGAGGTCTGATCTTTATCTAGTTTTGTCTTAAATATTTTCTTTAATCTTATGGGACCATATAAAATTTCCTTAAATTGTATAGATACTCTGTTGTAATGATCCCTCCTTTTGTAGTACATGGGATAAATCCTAGGTTCTTATACATGCTGGGCAAATGCTCTACCACTGAACTATAACCCTGTTTAAAAGTTTTTGTTTTGAGACAGTGTCTCAATACATTGCTGGCCTTGAAT